GTGTTGGTGTGAAACAGAGTCTGTAGAGTTACAGGATCAGCAGCTGTTTTTGTTGTTGTTTTGTCCAGGCGCTGCGGCGCCGGCGGAGAGCCAGCGTGATGCCGGCTGGGGAAGAGTGTGTGTTTTCCTGCAGAAGTTGGGGAAGAAAGCGGACAGTAGGAGTCTGAGTCTGGCTCACTGCGATCTGACGGCCACAGACCTGCTGGAGCTCGGTATTCACTCAGAGTTTCTGCTGCTCGGATTTGATCAAACCATCGACTGGAAGCAGGATCACCGCTCCAGAGCTGAGCGCAGATTTTATGAGACGTTTGACTCCATCAGTGTTTGAAATAATCATTTCAGACGGTTTTATAACCAACAGCCTCAAAAACAAACCACAACCTGATCAGATCAGATCCAGGTTTCAACCATAGACTCTTGTTATTCATCTGGATTCACAGGAATTTTTTTTGCTTTGCTCATAGCGAGTAGTTTCATGCAGTCAGTATCTTATCTGCAGTGGAAAATATGTTTTTTAGTTTGGAGAATAATGGAGGAACTCGTATAATTCCATATAACTGAGTGAATTTTATTTGTTCCACAAATAAAAACTTGGATTTGAGAACTACACCACTTCACACTGAGTTTTAGATTTGATAATTGTTCATTCTAACTAGTTTTGATCTCCTTGGTTCTTTATCTGTGACGTTTGAAACCTTCCAAAAGACACAAAGTAAAGCTGAACGCCATCGCTGATGGCGCGTTTGTCATTTTAGCATCGCTGCTCCAGTTCCTCCCTCAGCTGGAGGAGATGGATGTCTCTTGGAACGAACTGATTGGTGGCAGTCTGACAACATTGACCTCTCACCTCCAACATGTGGGCGGATCAGGACGCTGAAGCGCTGTCTGCAGCTGCAGGCTGAACGCAGACGATGTCGCCGCGCTGGGTGAGTCTTCGGTTAAAAGCCGAACCGTCCAGTCCTGACGCTGTTAGCAGTTTAGTGCTTATTTCCTCCAGATCTGATCTGGAAAAGTCTTTCTACACCAAACATGTCATTTTCCTTTTTGGCCACATCGTGATCGAATGTTCTCGACTGATGAATTGATGAAATCCATTAAAAAATATATATTATTAATGAACAGCCATTTCTGCATCCTTCTGAAAACTAAATAATATACATCATCTTTTCACGCTGACATACTTTGGATGTGCGCTTAAATTAAATAATATTTAAGTGCACAACTGTTGTATTTATGCTCACGTTTAGAGGCCCACAAAATAGGCTGTAGCGGGCCGAATTTGGCCCTTGGGCCTCAAGTTTGACACCTTTAAAGTTCCTATAAGTTTCAGTTTATTTCCTTTATGGCCGGTGAACATAATAACTGAAGTAGAAGGAAAGAAATGCAGGATTTAACACTTCACAAACAGAAAACTGAAAAGTGTGGCAGGCCTTTATATTCAGCCCCCTTTACTCTGAAAACCCTAAATAAAGTTCTTCCTCTGTGCCTATGTAGGTGAAGCCCTAACTTCTGTTCCTGTGTTGGAGATCCTCGATCTGTCCTGGAACAGCAGCGTTGGCGGCGTTTTGCAAAGCTTGCTGGGTAAACTTCAGCCATCAGAGGGAGCTCCACCTGGTGGCCTGTCAGCTCACTGCGGCGGACGCTGCTGCTCTGGGTAATCATGTCTTCATTGGACCAGATTTTTCTGTTTGCTGGGCTCATCTCAGTCTGCGTTCCCCTTCAGGAGGCCTGGTGGCCGTTCTGCCTAAACTCTGTGTGTTGGACGTTTCCTGTAACTCTCGGCTGACACAGGAAGTGGACGCTGGCGGCTTCAGGCAGCTGGCCGCCTCCCTGTCCCACGCCACCTCCCTGACCGTGCTGCGGGCTGCAGGCCTGCGGGTTGAAACCTGACGACCTTGAGGCTCTTGGTGGGAGCAAAACCTCTGATTTCTGATGGCTTAAACATTTGACTACTTTCTTGTTAGAATTGATTTTCAGTAGAAAACAAATCCTGATGCATCCTGCAGGCAGAGCTGGGTAGAGTAGCAAAGAGGCTGCAATCACCTAAAAGTTCTTACTTTTATTTATGTAAAAGTAAAAAGTAACCAAACTGACAAATTACTCTAGTAAGAATTAAAAAGTATTAACTAAAATTACTATTCAAGTACTGAGGAACTGAGCGTCTTCAGTCAGAGGCTTCTTCAAACTTGCTGTAATGCAGACTGCTACAGGAGATCTTTCCTGCCCACAACATCTGCAATAACTCTAAAGAATTAATGCGTTACAATCAATAAAGTATTTTTGAATTTGATCAAAACTTAAATCAAATTTAAAAACTGCATCATCAGACAAACCAAAATATAAAGTAATGTGGAAACTTTTGTATTTTAAAGACCAAAATAAAAAGAAGTCATATAAAAAAACAAGACGGCAGAAGCAGTCAAAATACTTTTCCAAATCAGTTTCTTTCGATTTGAAAATTATGAAATTTTATCAAAACCTGTAGGTGTGTCTGTTTATGATTAAAACAATTTGTTCTTTATTCAGTAAAGTTACTCACAATGGGTAAAGTATCCAAAAATTACTAGTAGTACTTCTACTTCATAATAAAAGTACTCAAAGTAAAAATACTCCTAAAAGTACTTTTTTCCAGTTGCTATAGTAATTTTAATTGAGTAAATGTTACCTGTGGCTGCAGGTGCTTCCCTGCACTGCCTGCCCTCGGTGCGCCAGCTGGACCTGTCCTGTAACAGAAGTATGACTGGAGGCCTGAGCCGACTCGCCTCTCACCTGCCTCACATGGCTCACCTGGAGAGCCTGGACCTCCACCTGTGCCGCCTCAAACGCGTCGACATGGAGGCTCTGAGTGAGTCTCTGTGACCGCCACGGCCAGCAGCCGCTGCAGGCTTCACCTCCTGCCTCTCTCCAGTCCAGGTGCTGCCCTCTCTGACGGCGCTGACGGCGCTCGACGTTTCGTCCAATAAGGAGGCGGGAGGCGCGGTCCACCAGCTGGTGTCGGTGCTGCCGCTGACTCAGATGAGGAGGCTGCCGATGAGCAGCTGCAGGCTGACGGAGGAGTCCTTCACCGCCCTGGGTAAACACCGACAGGCTCACTGCGTCCGCAGCTGGAGCAGATGAGCCCAGCAGTCAGCCAGGGCTCGGCGCCGCTAGCCAAATGTTAGCTTCTAAACCCTAATGCACTACAAAAGGGTAGTATTTAGAGGAAACTAATGCCAAAGCACAACAATGTTGAACTTTATTCACCTGAAAAAACCAAGAAAATCAGTGCTTTAGAATTTATCCAGCGTTAGGTGCACTAAATGTTTTCAAAATTGAGAAGTTAAAGGTTAGCTGCACTACTAGCAGATTAGCATAACTATCGCCGCCGCTGGAATCAGATTATTTTATAGCTTTTTTGTAAGCTAGAAACAAGTCTTAGGCCTGAAATCTGGCTGCAGTCATGACCTCTGACCTGAACCTTCAGAGTCACATAAAGTCGGTTCCAAAGCCAAAGAGCATTTCCAGCATTAAATCTAGGTAAACTCATCCATATCTTTGAACGCCTGCTTCCTTTTGGACGTTAAGTTCATACAAGGCCGACACAGTCACCATGTGAATTTCTATTATTGCCTGTCTTCCACTTTTTATTAGTTTAGAAAAGTGGGCCTCTGTTTGGCTCCAAACTGAGCCAAGCAGAAAAACATTAATGACAAAGTTCCTCCACAAACTGATGAACTTAAAAACGTGTCTCAAAATGAATAATATTTTTACTTGTCATATTTGAATAGTAAAAGCTGAGTAAGCTGACAGCCTGGAGGTTTTACTTCCCTCAGCTCTGGTGGCGCCATACCTGCGCAGCCTGGATGTTTCCTGGTGTAAGGTGGTAGGCGGTCGCCTGCCGCTGCTGATGGACGCGCTGCAGCCGTCCGTGGTCCTGGAGCTTCGCCTCAGCAGCTGCTGCCTCACCACCGATGACCTGCATCACCTAGGTAACCAACGCAGTGATTTAGCTTTAAATGAAACGTTCCATCATTCAGGTGAAAACTGCTTTTGCTTTGACACATTATTCATATTTTGGGCTATTTTTAATGCTATACATAATTGCCATGTGATGTCACACTTGCAGGAAGTTTGTAGCTGACAGCAATCTTAAAGGCGTTCATAACATAACAGTTGCTGTGACAACAGGACACAAACCACAGCGTAGCTGGAGCTTTAGCCTTGTTCCTGTCTAATTTATAAAGAATACCAGTACGACACAGCTATTGGTTGATAGCAGTTTTTGAGCGCTGTGCTTTCGTTTTGCTGGTCTGGACGCCATGTTTCATCGAAGCTCCACGCTGCGCTTGGCTACCAAGATGGCGGTTCAGTGGCGCTGCTGTCAGGATCTCGTTGTAGTTGGACTGAATTTCAATTATAACTCAGAGCTACTCTGAAGCTTGTGGCTTAATTATTGTTGTCATAGCAACTGTCATGACCAAGATGGCGGCTGTCTGCGACTAAGCTGTGACCTGTGTACTGAATGATTGACCTTTATTGTTCCGGGTCAGCTGGCGTGTGCCGACGCGGCTGCGTGTCCTCCCTCGGGTCCTGGACTTGTCCTACAACGGCTCGGTCGGGGACGCCGGCTGGGCGGCGCTGTTTACGGCGGGCGGCCTGGGCTCACTGGAGGAGGCCGACCTCAGCCTCCGACCTTTGACCTGGGCTCCCTGCTCGGCCTGGCTGCCGGCGCTGCTCGGGGCTCTGCCTCGGATGCCGGCGCTGGCCCGGCTGGCCATGCAGCGCTGGAGCACCGGGCCGCAGGAGGAACAGCAGCTGCGGTTCAGCGTGAAGAACCGGAACATCCGGCTGGACTGGGATCCGGACGGTTCGGACTGGAAGACCAGCAGCCAGGAGGAGAGTCACTCTGAGGAGTAGGGAGGAGGTCAAAGGTCACTTGGATTTCAACAGATCAGAAACAATCAATCATACCTGATTCCTGAGGTCCAAACATTTCAGCTTCTGACTGTTGGAGGCTTAAAGTCAACAATTATTCTCACGTTGCACAAGAAAATAAATTCACAATTATTTAACTTTATTGTCTTTTATTTCATTCTTTTACATTTCGACCTTTTTGGATGTAAATATGCTCCCATTTCCTCTGATGAAATTGTTTCACTGAGTGTTTGATTGCTGCTGTTGTGGGGGATGAACCTGCGTCCTGCTCGTTATCGTCTATAAAGAAAAGGTGTTTCCTCAAACGATGGAAGAGTTCGGCGAGGAAAACATGGCCGTCCACCTCGTAGGGCCTGACGTCGGTCTGCTCAGGCGTCAGGCGGCCGATGCTGAGCAGCTCCCTGAAGGCCTGAAGGACGCAAAAACACTTCAATGCCCCAGAAATTAACAGTTAAAGTCTACAGTCATTTTTAACTACTATTCCAGCCAAATCTGGATTATTGCTGCTTCTACCTTAAGTTTATATGAAAAACAAACCAAATAAAACCTTTTTTACTCCTGAAAACCCTCCAGGCTCTGATAGAAATACTTGCCAGTTGTTTTAAAAGCTTCATCTGATGATGGATTACAGCAGAAGTCAACCAATGTTCCCCAGGGTTGAGTTCTGGTCCAGTTCTGTTCACCTCATGTATATAAGAACTGCCTTTTGTTAGCAAACTCCTTAGAATAGGCAACAAAAAAGCCTTAACTTTAATATTAGGTCTTTATGAACAGTCTAATTGATTTAAAGTGTTATTAATATTTAGCTCCTATCCTTGTTTTCTTCTTATTTGGTTCCATTTCAGCTGATTTTATTATTTCATAATTTATCCATTTCATCTTCTCTGAGTCCTTCTGTCAGATTCCTGAGGGTGAAAAACGAGGATGGTTTCTAACCGTAACCCTAATAACGGAGGTTTCACCTGGCAGACCGGCTCCTCCAGGTGGTTCCCCCAGATGTAGATGTGGGTCAGAGTGGAGCTGTCGTTCAGAGCCTGGGCCAAGGACAGCAGGCCGCGGGTACCGATGTTGTTTCTGCAGACAGAAAGCCTGGAAAACACAAACTCAGATCCTCCAGTCATCCTGTCGGCTCCTCGGAGACCACAGAAGAAACCAAAACTAAACTGACTCACTCTCTGAGGACGGAGCCCTCGCAGCAGATGGCTTCGCTCAGATACTCTGCGCCAGGGTCTTCGATCCGATTGGACGACAGATCAATGACCTCCAGAGGGCAGTTTTCTTTCAAGACTTTGGAGAGATGCAGGGCGCCATCCCGGCTCACAAGGTTGCTGCAGATGAAAGGTTTGATTTTGCATCCGGGAAGCCTGGTGCTCAGTCAGGGTTTGTATCATAAGCCTGGCGGGCCTCCGGGTTTTACTTCCAGACTAAGCATTATTTTAAATTGAGCTTTTTATACACCAGAAACAGTAAAGATGGACTAAGCCAGGTTAATAGCTGACGCATTGAGCCAATAGGATGGTGGGTCTTGTAACTTTTAACATTTTTTAACACAGAAACATGGCGGGTCGCTGGTGGACTGACCTAACATCTCCACCAGGGGGCTTAGGTGGTTTTCTGTTCGTTATCTTGATCATTAGTTTCCAGACTTCCTGCCTGTCTTTTGTTGATTTTCTTCAAACATTGGCTTCCTCTCAAAGTCAGACGGACCCGTCTTACCAAACCTGTTCTGTCAGGTAAATTAACTGAAAATTGGTTGAAAAAACAGTCAGAAACTTCAGGAAGCCTGGAGAACTGATGATGAAGACCTGTCTATGTGTGAAAACATGAGGACCGGGTTTGTACCAGCGTAGGTCCAGGTACCGCAGTCTGTGGTTCAGCTTCAGGCCTTCAGACAGCCTCTCCATGCCCGTGTCTGTCAGGCCCATCTTACCTAGATGGAGCTCCACCAGGGTGCTGTTCACTGGAAGCATCTTCGAGAAGTGAACAGCCCACTCTTCCTGAGACAGAACCACACAGCATTCAGATCAGAACTGGAAACAGAACCTGCTGTCTGCTGGTGGGGAAGTTCCTACCAGGAGGCTGAAGAGCAGCGCCCGGCTCATGTCCACAGACCGGAGGGTGGTGTTGTTCTTCAGAGCGGTGCTGAGGTCAATCATGCTGTGCATTTCCTGGAGGGACAGAGGCAGGGTCAGAGGAAGAACCGCTCACAGTACCAGGAGGTTCTGGTCCACAGGAGGTTACCAGGTCGCACTCGCCCAGCTCCAGCTCCTGCAGCGTCATGTTCACCCGCAGCATGCCGGCCAATTTCAGGCCTCCATTTCTACCGATCTTATTCCCCGATAGCCTGAGAGAGAGCAAGCTGCTGTTACCCTGCAGGACGGAGAGAGATGATCACTTCCTGTTTGCTATTCCCACAGAAAACGATCACTTCCTGTTTGCTATCCCTTTATGAGTGAGGATCACTTCCTGTTTTGGACCGTGGTGTCACCAGTTCTGCGCCTGGAGGAGAAGATCAGCAGCAGACATTTATCTGACCTACCTGCAGGCTGCTGGCGAGAACCTCGGCTCCATTCGTCTCAATGTTGTTGAAGGTGAGGTCCAGAGATCGCAGCATCATGTCCTGCGCCTGCGCAGCAACACGCATGACAACGACAGCACGCATGACGACAGTAAGAGACATCACGCCAACGCCTGAGCAGGCCTCTCCTCTTCCTCACCTCTAGAAGCTTGGCCAGGTAAGCTGCTCCTTCATCACTGATGTTGTGGTACCCCATATCCAGACCTGTTCAGACGAAAACCGGTGAAAAACACGCCGGGTTCTGGTTCTGTGGATCCGGACCGGGCCGCTCACCTGTAAGGGTCGGATAGTTCAGGAGACATTTTGACAGAGCGAGGGCGTCATTGTCAGTAAGTCTCGGGAAGCCTTTCTGCTTCCTGTTTCCTGCTAGATTCAAGGTGAAACTCCTGCAACGAGGAATAACTGGAGCAGTTTTTCACAATAAAAGCTTCACATTTAATGCGTTACCTTCACTAATTATTAATATTAATATTCAGCTTTCAAATGGCCCCACTCACGATAAAGAGCACAATGTTACCTGAAGACAGATAATGACAGATAAACACTGCAGGCAAACCGTTTATCCACTGTTATTGGAGGCTATGCTAACCAGGCTGAGCATTCACAAAATGCTATGCTAGCCGCAGAGCAGAGGGGAGTAAGTCAGAGGAGGCACGAGCAGCCTCATGGAGAGTGATTGACAGCACCAAGACCCGCCTCCTGGCTCCGATTGGTTGTTTTAGCTTTTTTCAGATTATCTGTCTCATATTATGCTGTCCCATAATAGTTTCAACAGATATGTAAAAACATATACAGCAGCTTTAACAGTTAAAAGGGTTGTTGCTCATAATACTGATAGTTTTGTACACTTTACATATTTTGTTGTTACATTACATAAATATTTTGTAAATATATTCTGATATACTCTGAGTATAACTTTAACTAAATAATTGGAAATTTTACCAGAAATGTATCACCAGTTATAGTTACTAAGGAAGTACAAAACAAAAAAAGTTAGGACATAAGGAAATAAATAAATAAAGGAAGGAAGGATGCAAGAAAATTAGAAGTTAAAGAAAGTCAGTCAGTTCGGCTCTGATTAGTTTTTCTTCAACCAAATATTTAGCATTAGCCCCAGAAGCTAATGTCTCGTCTCGTTAAAAATTCACATTTCAGCCATTTTTTACCCAGGCTCAAACTCTCACCTTGTCGCCGTTGTTCTCTCTAAGTTTTCTAAAACAAACGGGTTTATAGTAACACCTTCATTGTCACAAATCGCTTTGTAACACTCGGATATAGTCTCAGAGGCGATCACTTTGGCCAGAAACGCCATGGTCATGGCAACAAGGTAGAGTTGCGTCACGCGCTGCGTCAACAGTTCAGGGTTTTTCCCGCCACTGAAACAAAACTGTTTTAAGTTTTAACTTGTATTTTTAGCTGCTGTGCTTATTCACTTGATTCCGTTTTGAATCGTCTTTTGAAATATAAAAACAACAATTTGAATCACACAGAATGAATGTATGTTAGTTCATTTTTTCAGTTTGATGTTTCTGCAGTTTTGGTTTAGTATTGACAGCAATGCTAAAAGCTAATGCTAATAATGAATATTTTTCCACTTCTATCGAAACAAATCAACACTGATGCATTTTAGCTTATTTCACATCGTTTTTATTTTTTTCTCATTTTTTATACATGACCTAACGCAGTTATTCTTCACAACTGTACAAGTAATGATGACATTTTGCAAAAATAAGACCAACTGAAAATGCTTTGTGTACAGCAGTTCTCCAACTAAACAAACACATTCTCTAACAGATGTAGAAACGATAAATAAAACTTTTCCTGGCCCTACTTCTACACAAAACATGGGAAAATAAAAAAGATTAATTTCTCTATACACTGATTATTCTACCCAGAATAAAGCTGTAAAATAACAATGAGATTGTTTCAGGTAGATGAAAATAAACAGAGAAAAAAATGTACAGGATTTAAACTGAAGCTATTCATAGTTAGGATATTTAGTTTGAAGCAAAATATTGCAAAACTTATCATGTCTTATTAAGTATTAAATCATGTTTTAAGGAGAAAAAAGCTCAAAAATATGTGAATCTCTTCCAGGAAGTCCTGGAAAAAAACACTGAAGTGCATCAAGTACGTAAAACATCTGCTGTTCTTATGAATCATCAGGAAATTGATAGAAGCACTAATTAAAACTTTTCTGACCTGCAGACCGGACCGGTACCAGCAGGATTCGATTCTCATCCTCTTGCTCTGAAACAGAAGCCATTTCTTCACTTCAATCTCACATTTTACTCTTGAATCGACAAATTAATGACGCCATCGTTCAGGAGGAAACCTGCTTTTATGTTTACTCCAATATTATTTCAAATTCAACTGCCGTTCTGCAGCTGGAAACGTCAAAGTTTCACCAGATTAAAGCCAAACAACCAGAAAACTGACTTTTTCTTTTGTATGCACCAAAATATATCCAACACAAAACAAAACTAATCATGCTAATTTACCCTGCAACTGAAAAATCTAAATCAGCTAAAAAATATGTTTTTACATAGTAATTTATGGAAGAACAAAACTTTAAAGATGTTCATCAGAAATAATAAAAAAAGAAGTAAAAATTAGTCGAAAGAAAAAGGAGTAGAATATTCTTTAAATAGGACAAAATGAGGGGTCAGAGGTCATTAATGTGATAATACGCTGTTAAGTGGTGAAACTGTTATCTAAACTGGTTCTGGTTGTTTTGGAAATGAAACAGTTCTGAAAACGTGAGGTTGGGTCAGATATTAGTCCAGAGTCCGTCCCGCCTCCGGGCTCACTGCGGTGGCGGCGGCGGCGCCTCGGCCGGGTCCACCGTCTTGATGATGATGATCTGCTCCAGGCCCGTGGCGGGCGACGCCGCCGGCCGCAGCTGCTCCACCAGCGCGTGCAGCGTGTCCGAGTTGATGGTCTGCTCCGAGTCTGCCTCGAAGGTCACCTGCTGGCCGGCGTCGGCGCTCAGCGCCTGGTGGTCCGGCTCCGTCTTGAAGTCCTGGATGATGGCGGTGGTTTCGGCGGGCGGGTCTTCCGTGCCGGCGGCGGCAGACGGGTCGGAGGCCTTGGGGCTCGGGGTCGGAGGTTCCGGGTTGCTTGGCTCTGATTCCGGGATGGAAACCAGACTCTTGTCCTGCGTGAGTTTGCTCTGAACGAAGGCCACCGGATGGCTGGAGGCCAGCAGGACAAACTGCAGAGACAAATCGCCATGGTTACCGTGTGAGAAAGGGGTTCCCAAACGGGATTGGCTGCTGTCTACAAACAATGCTACAAAATATGCAAAGGAACATTAATTTTTTTAAATTTATTATTCACTAAGAATTATGTCCATCTAGAAAAGGTGTGTCCAAAATGTGGCGCAGGGGCCATGTGTGGCCCTTGACCTGGTTTTGTGCGGCCCCTGACCGTCTTCCATCAATTTTTCCAAAATTTTTAAAAATGTTTTCCTATTTTCCCTTTTTCTTCACGTTCTCTACAGTCTTCGAAAGCTCTGCAGCGCCCCCTGGTGGCCCCAACTGTGAAAACACTGTTTAGGTGTAAATTAAGCCCCGCCCATCGGCTCACCGGCTCGCGCACGCTCCTTGTGTTGTCGCACTTCGTCAGCGTGAGCCTTCTCCTGATGTTTGATCATGTTCTTCACGCTGGCAAAACGGTTCCCACACAGCAGGCACTGGACGCCAGAGTTTCCATCTGGACACACACACACACACACACACACACACACACACACACACACACACACACACACACACACACACACACACACAGAGAGAGGAGAGGGGAGGGGGGCACATTTAGATACTTGATCTGGTTTCAAAAGGAAGAGAGTTGCATCTGTTGTTCTGTCTTCCTCGTTCAGAGCGGCATTGCGGTCAATCCTAATCTGAATTTACCTGGATGAAGCCTCCTCAGGTGCTTTTTCAGCTCAGAAGATGTCGCAAATTTGGCGTCACAGTTTGTTTGCGAACATTTATACGGAGTTTCGCCTGAAACAGGAACAAGAACAGATTAAAATAGTGTTAGCTCCGCCCACCTGGGTGGATATGTATAATAATGAGCTCCACCTGTGTGTTTCCTTGCGTGTGCGATCAGAGAGGAAGACACAGAGAAGGACATGCCACACAGGTCGCACTGGTACGGCTTCTCCCCGGTGTGGCGCCTCTTGTGGTAGGTCAGGGTACTGGACTGAGCGAACGCCTGGCCGCAGATGTCGCAGACATACGGTTTCTCTCCGCTGTGGAGTCTGCAGGGAAAAAACACATTAAAGACGTGAACATTCAGCCATTTCCTCCTCAGCTCGGTCATTTTAATGCAGCAGGATGAGAACCTGATGTGTATTTTGTAGTTGGACGATGTGGCGAACTTGAAGCCGCAGCGTTCGCAGGTGTACGGTTTCTCCTCTCCATGGTGCATCCGGCGGTGAGCGACCAGCTGGCACTTCTGGGCGAAACATTTGTCACAGTTGCTGCAGGTAAACGGTTTCTCACCTGGAGACAAACAGGTTTAAATGTTTAGGTATTTCAAATGAGGAGCTGGGAGATATTTCATCTGTGTTTATCCTGCAGATTTTTCTCTTTTTTCTGTCTTTTCCTGTATTTCCTGTTATTTTCTCCTGTATTTTCCTGTTTCTCTGTCATTTGCAACTGTGTTATTGTCTTGTTTTTCTCTCCTGTGTCTTGCTCACCTGTGGGATGCGCAGGTGGGTCTTGAGTTGCGTGGCCTGCCTGAAGGTCTTGGAGCAGAAGATGCATGAGAACGGCTTCAGGCCTTGTGGATCTTCTCGTGGCGCCGCAGGCTGCTGATGTCTTTGAACATCTTGTTGCATTCGCTGCAGGTCAGCGACTCGCCCAGCTCAGTCCGTCGGTCTCCCCGCCCTCCGCCTCGCGCTCTTCCTCAGTTCCCAGTCCCCGCTCTCCTCATCTTCTTCCTCCTCCATCCTCCTCCGGCCCCGCCCCCGGCCCGTCCCCTCCCTCGCCCCCGGCCTCGCCCGCGGCCCCTCCTCTCCTCGCCTCCCCGCTCAGCCGTGGTTTCTTGGCCGGCAGCTCTTCTTCTCTGGACGGGCTCCAGTCGGCTGACGTGTCACCGAAGTCGGCCGGCGTTTCGCCAAGTCCTTCACGCTGCCGTCCGATTCGCCGGCAGACAGATCTTCTCTGGGAGTTCCTCTTCCTCGGCCGCGCCCGCTGCCTCTGGGCCGCCCCCTGCCTCTGTAGCTCTGGATCTTGGCGGTGCCGCTCGGCTCTGGCGGCTCGCCGCTGAAGCTCTTGGGCCTCCTCCCTCTCTTCCTGCCTGTCGCTCGGCCGAAGCTCCGCGGCGTGGCGGCTTGTAATCCACGTCGTCGCCCAGGTCCTCGTCCCGCGGGTCGAAGTCGTGGATCTTCCCTTCCAGGCCGTCCTCCTTGAAGTCTCCGACCACGGAGGCGATGGACAGGGGAATGGGGGACGGCGGGCTGCTGGGACTCGGTGGACAAGGCTCCGCCTCTTTGTCCGCGGCCGACTGGGACGTCTCGCCGGACTCGGACCAGGGGACTTTCTCCAGGTACTTAGTGGCCTCCGACATTCCCAGGAAGACGGCGGCTCGGCGCACGGCAGCCTGCCTGGTGCTGAAACCACAGAAGAAGAACAGGAATCACACAATGAATCAGATTATTGAAATTATTCATGAATTTACTAATCGACTGTTAACTGGAGAATACCGAATAAAAATACCTCTTGTTGAAAAATCCATAGTTAAGCCAAATGAATTAATTACAGAAACATATCTACATTTTGTATTTGATGTAGATATGTTTACTTATCTACAAAGATAAAACCTTCTTTGTTTGTAAATATGTTCAACCAAACTCAAGTGATCATTTTATCTTCACCTGGTTCATTCATTAAAGGATTTCAGTGACATGTTTATTTCCTTATTTAAAAAAAGAAATTTCTTATATGTTTAGTTGCACATTTTAGTCTGTTTCTAATAATGTACAAAAAAGCTCTGAGTGGTTAAATAAAAACTGTTTTTTTTCATATTAAATTTGATTACAATCGACTTTTTTCCGTAAATAAACGCAAATGACAGAAAATATTTTTAAAAATTTTTATTTAAATTATGCCTTCTGTGAGACGACCTGAACCCAGAGTCCAAATAAACGGAAGCTATAAAACAAGATGGCCGCGCATTGGTTGAAAATTAATCTAATTTAATCTAATCTGGCTGTGCAAGTTACTCAAAAGGTTGTTGCTAGGTCACCAGAGAGTGAGTTAGTTGATGCCACCAACTAACTCTGCCTACATCTCCCAGAATGCCATGTGGTTCGGGATCAG